TTTATTTATTTATTTATTTATTTATTTATTTATTTATTTATTTATTTATTGTGTGTTTCGTCTAAATGTAGACATATCATAAATAACTGAGAACTGAAACATGAGTTAGAAAAACAAAATTCAAAATGTATGTTAACTTAAAATACAGAACTGATGTCTCACTGAAAAKATTTTAGCTTTTACTGGAGTATATTTTAAAAGCAAACAAATGCATGCACTTGACAAACATTGTCTTCTATTTCATTGTTCCTTTCYAATAGCATTTGTAAAAATTTTATTTATTCATTGGGGTGGAAAATARCATATCATCTTGTATGCCAAAATTGCAATTATCAAGATTTTTACTTTTGCTATACAGCAAGTGGTATGTTATGCGGGTAACTCCCAGGTACTACAACATCTCTGTAAAACTGATAGAGTTATGGTTAATTTTGTGTTTTCTAAGGATGATTAGCTGCTGGCCATTTTAAATAAGGTTGACTACAAAAGTTAATTAGTTGTAAATAAACATCCAATGTTAACTTGTTTGAAAATTTCATGACACTGATTGATGACATATATATATATATATATGTTTGTTCTATTTAGAGCGGGCAGCAAGCAGGTGTGTGCCTGCTTCAGCRGTCAGGAAAGAGGCGAGCCTCACCACCCACCAGTGTCATCTTTGAGATCAATAAGTTTTTGATTGGTCTGCAGTGGGGAAAAGAGCGACAGTTTCAGCAGGGCCGAGTGGCCGGACATAGGGTCGATGACGACACCAACCGTTCCATYTCATCCATAGAAGAAGACTTCCTGACAGCCTCAGAGCACCTCGAAGAAAGTGAAGATGATGGCTCAAGAAATGGTGCGCTTTAGTGTCTCCTCAAGGAGATTTTATTTGCATTTGTTTATTGGTGGAACTCCAAATGGAAACCAAATTGTAAATTTCAACATATTTATTAATGGCAGATCCAACACACACACACACACACACACACACACACACACACACACCAAGAAAACATATTGTGTAGAAAAAAGAAACAGTATTGCTGGAGCATTCACAAGAAAGCAGCATGACAAGCATTACGTGATTTAATTAGTGACTGATGAAATATTTAGTTATCATTTTTTTTACTGCTGTGATGAGTAGATGATGACAAATTCAGCTCCAGCACTCATTAAAAGGTAAAAAATGTTTTTATCTTTCTCTTGACAGGTTATTTTAGACACTGACTGTTTTGCTTTTTAATCAGTGTGGACATTTTTTAGTTTCTATCATTTCATGTTTTTCTTTTCCTCTTCACAGAGCCAGAAAGTGGYGACAGGGAAGAGAGCCAGGTTGAAGCTGGTCAGAAACACTGTGTCAGACTTACATCTCACAGGGGACAGTTAGCCCATCATCAGAGCCAGGATGAGACTGACATAAAAGGAGAAGTTCCTCCAAGTTTAAGTTTCAAMACCAAGGAATCAGCTGGTTACTATGCCACTAATCTAGCTGAGTCGGTATTACAGGATGCCTTCATTCGACTCTCTCAAGATGAAACTTCGTTTGTGTCTGAGGCAGCTATCAGCGTGTCCCACACTCATTGTCTTTCTAAGAGTCCCTCCAAGACCAAAGGGCCTACGCAACAGCGCACCTGCTCTTTTGAACTACCCAAGATTGTCATAGTTCAAAGCCCAGACAGTTCTGATGGTGCTGGAGAATGGACAGAGACACAAGTCTCTCATGTGGATAACCGCAATACCCCTGCCAGAGAATCGCCAGAGAATGAAAACCAGGCTCAGACACCTCACCACAATGGAGGACACAGACATGTAGAGATGGCTTTGGCCTGTGCTGCCAATGTAATTGGCACCATTACGACTCCACAACTGACTGAAAAGCTCACCCATGAAACTGCTTCAGTAGAGAACGCAGGAGAAGAGCAGGAAGAGCCAAAGGATGAAAGTGACTACTCTGTCTCTTCCGCTATGTGTGGCATGGCACAAGTAGCCGGAGCAGTAGCAGCTGTGGAACTAGCAGAGGAGTCAGCAGAGGGTGACGATTCTGAAACGGATACTACTGAAGTCTACACAGCATCCCATGGTCTAATGTCTGCTGCCAAAGCTTCAGCGGCTTTCCCGCTCCACTGCAGTGTGGCAGAGGGTACAAGTGTTGAATCATTTCGAGCTAACATAGCGGAGGTCCTGCACAGAGAAGCAGCCGAGGTGCTGACCCAACCACAAGGCTACAAGAGTGTTGCACACTTGTTAGAGACCACACATAACAAAATAGTTGATGGTATCACTTGTCCGAAAACATGTTGTATGGGTGAAAAGGAGGTGGATGACCTAATAAATGAAGTGGCAGACAGCCTATTCAAGCATGCCTTGGAAAAAGCAAAAAAGAAGAAAGAACTAGAAGGAGCTGGAAAAGATGCTCCCAGCCTTCAGGTTTTTCTGCAGGACAGTGTAAACAATCTGTTGTTTGACATTCTTTGCCTAACGCAGAAAAAAATCAGTTGTATCTCCACATGTAACCAAGAGTCAGATGAAACACAGGAGGGTGATACTTGTGTTAACAAGTTTTCCACAACAAAAAGAAGCAAAGATCCATTAGGCCAGGTTATGTGCTTGGTCAGCAACAGTCAGTCCACTAACAATGAAAACCTCAGTGGCATTTTGGCCTCCTCAGACAAGTTTTCTGTGTTTCCTGGACTGAGGAAACACATCCCTGAGGAAGGGGATTTTAGCACATCTTCCTCGACTGCACACTTCAAAGAACAACAGCAGGGGTCATTATGCAGACAAAGTCAGTCTAACACAAAAGACCTTTCTGATCAGCAGCAAACCAGTGGTGCCAACAGAGAACCTCTAAGTGAAATCCCAGTTCACACAGCAGAAAGAAGGGGGCGTCTGCTGGCAGGCGGTGACAGCAGACAAACCTCTCTTACACCTCAGGCCTCCTACAACTCATGCAGTTCTTTGCTTTCTTTAAAAATGGATGCTGATTGTAGGACACCTATCACTTGTTATGCTGATGATTTAGCTGCTACAGTAGTGTCTATGGCCACAGAACTGGCAGCCATCTGTCTTGAAAATTCCACTGGGAAACAGCCCTGGTTTTGTGCTCTAAATGGGACTGTTACAGAAGRTCCAGAGGCCTACTTGATGCCAGCTTGTCGCACTGTTCTGAGAAGAAAAGAAAGTCAAAACAGCAGTGCTGCTTCGAGGAAACATCGAGCGCCCCGTCTCAGTGAAATTAAGAGGAAAACAGAAGAACAACCRGAACTAATGGAGCGGCTGGTTAACMGGGTGGTGGATGAATCAGTTAACTTAGATGAACCACAGGATCCATTTGCCCTTTTTGCCTCYGAAGTCACAGCCAGGATCATGAACTGTCCTGAACTCAATGTGGTGGATACCTCCAAGACGGGCCAGCAGCGCAGCCGGCTCCAGTGTGAGAAGTGGAGTCGTGGAAAGGCATCTAGTTATGAGAGTATTCCAGAAGAAGATGCAGATCCCTCAGGCACATCTAACACCTTGGGTCCCGGCAGTCGGTTAGGTCAGAACCTGAGCCGTGGTAGCTCAATCTCTAAGCAGTCCAGCTGTGAAAGCATCACGGATGAATTCTCCCGGTTCATGGTAAACCAGATGGAAACTGAGGGCAGAGGCTTTGACCTTTTGCTGGATTACTACGCAGGAAAGAATGCTAGCAGCATCTTGGCTGCAGCTGTGCAACAGGCTGCGACAAAGAAAAATGGCCACCTTAACGTTAGGACCTCATCCTCTCTTTCTAAGCAGTCCAGCACAGAAAGCATCACAGAGGAGTTCTACCGGTTTATGCTTCGAGATATGGATAAGGAGAACAAAGATTATGGCATTGCCAAAACTAATGAATGGAGCAATAGCCTTTTTCCCCCTTCTCCTAGAACACCTTTCTGTATACGACAATCTTCTGTTCCGGACCGGCGCTCCTCAGACTCACGATTGACGGTCAACTCCCCCATAAAAGCCAACTCTTTTGATGGGTTTGCCCGCAATGTGTATGGAGACACATTGAACATCTACCCTACTTGCTCAGTGTCAGCCACAGGGCTATGTAAGTCTGACTCCTGCCTCTATCAAAGAGGTAAGACTGACCAGATAACCGACATGCTGATCCATGAGACCTGGTCAAGTTCCATTGAGTCTTTAATGAGAAAAAACAAGATCATTGCTGATCCAAAGGACAGTATTGATTCAGAAGCTTCAGGAGACTCCCAGCCACAAGTGCAGCAATTTGCTAATCGACTGGCAGCTGACATTGTAGATATTGGCAAGTCTGCACTTGGAGGACAGCAAGATGTAGCTGGGACAATCCCTGGGTCACATCCACAGTTGCACATGCCTGTTGGTGAAAGAAGAAGGGGGTTCAAACAGTCTCATTTGAGCTGTAGTCGAAGTCGGTCCAGCCAGGAGCAAGCTGCTTCTGGAGTTGGGTCCGGGACTAGTGAAACCAGCATTCCCTGCACAAGGGGGCCCAGAGATGTGCCACTAATCCACATTGAGGGCGACCAAAAAGTCGAAAAGACTCTTTCAATTCCTGAAAGAACTGAAGGAAGACCAAAGGAAACATCTGTAGACACTAAACGTATGGAGAGAGCTAATGCCAATAGCAGCAGGTACTACATTACTCACAGCTCAGTATAAGACGTAGAACCACTCTTAAAGCAAAATGGTTTTTACAGTCGAGTTTTCTCACACTTATGACAATAAAATGGAGATCAATTTGTCTAATGAAAGTGAACAAGATAAATAAAGTATATTATGGTTACTTTTTAAAAATAAACAACAAAAGTTGTACAAAAAAATCCTTAAAAACAAATTCAAGAACACCCTAACGCTGTTGTTGGAGTTTGATCAAAGCTTGCCAGGCACAAAGAAATAATAATAATAAAAATCTATGAACTGAGAAAGGGGACCTACTAGGCTGTGAATCATGCCATCTGGGGAATGTACAATCTGCAGGGGGCTTTAATATTCTTATCTGTGATACCGATGAGCTTCCCTTAATCAGTACAAGTTCTGCTCACTCCTGACTTTCTCACAAATATACTACACACACAGAGGTATTTATAAAACATGAAGCTAAAAAGAGTGTGTGTTTTCAGTCTTGGGTTTTATTCAAACTAAACTGACATTTACAAGGCAAAGGGAGTATTTGATTTAATTTTCAGAGCAAATTGTCTTCAGTTTTTTTATACAAAAGCACAAGTCCCTTTGAGGCCATTTGATGAAAAAGTAGAGTTGAATGTATGTAATCAGATGGAACAGCTAAAATGGTAAAGTGGTATTGTAAAGGTGCCAAACAAGATTACAAAATGATTGTAAATGTTCAACTGAACACACAATTGTTCATATCGAAGAAAAAAAAAACTTACAAAGGTAGGATATGATTCAAAGTCAATGACAACAATGATCAGCAGCACACAGCCATTGTACTAATGAAATAACAGAAAGCTCAACAGTTGCGTGTGGTCCAACTACAAACAAGACCTGAATTATTTCCACATCCTTAAAGTGAACTTAAGAACAGTGATCCCAAGTAAACCTTCCAGCCTAAAAAGACAACTGAAAACCAAAAAGACATTAAAAGAGGCTTGACAGAAAAGGTAATTTTACACACTAAACCTTAAATTATGGTTGAACAAAAGGAAGACATGCAAACAACTAGTTTATCTATACGTACAGTACGTATGTGTTTTAATAAAGACTGCATCCTCAAAATAAGCTATGTTCAAGGAAGGAGGAAGGAGAAGTCGTCAGTCTCCCAGGCCTCGAGAGTCACAGGACATGCTTCTTTCCACTTCACAGTACATGTAATCCTTGAAACAAGTGAAGTGCAACTGTTTGTCCCTTGTGTGAGAGTGGAACTTGATCATTCGCCTGTTCAATTAAACCTGATTTCCCTCTTGAATTGTTGAGGATGGCAGCCCTCAAACATCAAATTATGACTTAATTGAATAAGTTTTAAAAAAGAATATGAAACAAAATAAAACCCCAACAAAAATCCTATTAGTTTCCACGTGAAATGCAGTTTACTGATACGTGGAGGATATTAATTAGCTTTCTGTTTTTATGTTGCTCAGTTATTTCAATTTCCAAAGGCTTCGGAGTTATATAATGTTATTGTGTACCATATCAAATAGCATAAATGTTCTTAATGCTTTTTTTTTTTCAATAATACTTATGAGAGAAGGAGTAATAACAAAAATCTGAGGTTAGCAGACATTTTGCACAATAAGTTGCTGGTCACTTCCACCATCTTGCGATTTGCTCTCCTCCCAGCAGTGAAAGGGACAGGCCAGCTGTGGCGGTGGCTACAGTAGTGAAGAGGGACAAGCGTTCAATGAGCGCTAGCAGTGAAGAGAGCATGGGGAGCTGGTCTCATGTAACCCCTGAAGATGATCCCCACGAGGAGACCAGTAGTTTTATCCAGCTGAGTGAGGGGTCAGTAACCATTGCTCCTCAATGCTGCTCCAAATGCCGCTGCTCCCACCCTCACCCCACACTCATTGGACCATTGCTACTGACAGTTGTGTTCTCCTGTGCCAATGCCAGCTGATTTTCTCCYTCCATGCCRGCTAAAAGCAGTGCTTAACAAAAAAGTAAAACAAGGGCTTGACTCTGCCTGCTCTGTAGACCACTTCTAGTGTTGGGCTGCAGTGGTACAGAACCTTTAGTTTTCACACTAAATATTCAGTGTAGCAGTCACTACAGCATTCTCCTTTTCATCATATTTGAATTTAAAGATGATACAAAATGAAAGTTGATGTGCTTTGATGTAATAGTAAGTAATATATGTCTTAGCTGCATGCTTAAATGAATTTCCTTGTACAGCTGTTGTGGCCTAATCCATACGGAAACACCTTTTCCAAAATAATCATTTGTTGTTAAAAGTGGTCTTGTAAATACAGCATTGTTTTTAGAAATGTCTTCATCCACAGAAAACACACACACACACACACACACACACACACACACACACACACACACACACACACACACACAAAGTAACACAATAAAGCAGTATGCAACGTCTCAGGAAACAGGAAACAAGGCGTGGAGCATGTGCATAAAGCTATAGTACTGAGTCCAAATTATAAAGTCAATAGTCAAAAGACTCAAGTCACAGGTTAAATTAGAGATGGGGCTATGATTTTGTTTTTAAAAAGTTACATTTTAACTGTCAAAGGATGCATTTTTAGTGGCATTTTTTTAAATCACCATGGAGCCTTTTTAGCCTCCTAAAACATTGTTTCCGTGTGGACGCAAGCCTGAAACAATATAAAAAACATTTTGTGTATTCACAAAAACTGTTTCAGTATAGACAGTCTTGTAGATTAGCAGGAAAAAGATTGATAGTTTCTTGAGTCTAGTGTAGCAGGTTGATATCTGCATTTTTCATAACTGTTGCTTCTTGCAAGCTCTTCATTTACCTGCTTACTGTAAAGCCTGTATCTCACTGGGCTGCGACTGTCGGCAACAAATTGTGAGTGGCGTCCATGTGGTCATTTCCAAAACATTCATAAAGTTTCTCGCTGAAACTTTAAACATGTTTGAGAAATTCCAGATACAAATTTACACTTCAAATAGTCACAAAGTCATCACAAGTGTCTGGAACTTGTCTTGAACTGTTTTCAATTTAGCTTCTTATCTAGTGCAAAAAAATATGAGATAAATTTTAGAGGGTTTGGTGACTTATGAAACTAAATTGTTACTGATTAGTGTCAAAATGGAGAATAACTTATGGTCAAATTGAGACACTTGCCAATAAAAAATCAACAGATACTTGGCAGGAATTTAGTGTGAATGTCAAGATTTGTGCAGTTATGTAAGTACACAAACATGCCATAACTACCAAATTCAGTKCGTATGTAAATTTGTGTATTTTCTTGTAATTTGTGTCCAACTATAGTTACCAATAGTCTCAGCCCAATGAGAAACAAGCTTAAAAACCACCTCATCCCTAATCCATGTCGTAACACCGAGGCGAGGTCTTCAGCCCTGCCTGTCCACCCTGCCCACCTAAACTAAATCTCGTCATCATAATCAGAAGCTTATTTTGTTTAAAAAAATTCACAAGCCGTTCGAGCTRAAAGTGTCCACTTCAGCTACAGCTGCTCTTTTACATATTGACCACCAGCTATTAACAGCATGTCATGTCATTGTTGTCTATGATTCTTGCTTTTAAGAAACAGCATAATATTATTCTCCTTTTTTACTGCAGGAATGGGACCAGTAGCACATCTAGCCTCGGTCTGGTCGACCTGGAGGCCTTTTCAGATGCTCCTACTCAGAGCACATTRATCAGGTATATTCCACGTTCACTTGTGCTCAAATAGTTTTGGGATTAATTTCTTATTCACCACAGTTTATAGAATGAACAAAGAAAGCAATTATTCTTGGCTGTTATCGTTTATCTCCTTGCAGCGAGGACATAGAGAAAGGCCAGCAAGGAGAAGGCAAAATCAATGTTTTTGGTAAGTGTGATCACAGATGCTTATGCTTTATGAGTTTTATCTCATAAACTTTGCAATATTACCACCTTGTACAATACAAGAAATTGTATCCATTAAGGTCGCTGTTTTTTTCAAGTTACACCTATTTAAATTTCCTGCTAGAACATGTGCACAAACAATCAGTTGATGTGTTTCACTTTGTTTAGTAACTTCTGCTTTATCTCAAAGTGATACTAACACCAGGATAAATGTATTTTATAAAGCTCAAACATATTTTGTAGTTAAAAGCAAAGTTTTCTGTTTGGAGTTCCGGCAAAAGAACAGAATCGGTTGTCTCTCAGTGCAGTCTACCAGTACTTTGATGGTCAACAGAGTTGTAGAAGTGTTTTATGCAGGGATGAGCATCTCTCTTTCCCTTTGATCTTTCAGAGAGCACTCCAGGAGCTACAGCAGGCAGTGGCAGCAGCTACCTAAGACAGCTTTTAGTGGTAAACTGTGACCTCGAGCAGGAGTGCGTGGACCATGAGCTCAGAGTGGCCCTGCAGTGGATTGCTGCCTCCGAGCTGGGACTTCCTGCACTTTACTTCAGGAAGTCCAAAGAGAAGAAGGCAGCAAAGGTGAAAGCAGTTGTTAGTATGCCATAAAACATGGTTTATTTGGGGGCTAAAAAGTGGATTTTGCACGATACCATAATCATTCAAACCCTTTCCATGGAATTCCACTTCAGTGCTRTCAAGTTAAAGTAATTTATTTTTATACGTTAATACAAATATTAATTGTTCTGGATTTGATCTRTTTTTTTTCTCAGTTCCAGAGGGTGGTCCACCTGATGGCTCAGAAGGCGTGGCGGATTGCAGACCTGTTCGGTGCCGTGCTTCAGTTCTGTAAGCTACACGAGACCGAGGAAGAGGTGGGAAGGTCTCTCCAGGCCAGCCTGTTTGACTGGCTTTTGGAAACAGCTTAGAGACAGTTCAACCTTCCTCCTAACAGCAAACAGCAACACACGTGCTCGCTCATCATAGCATCTCTGCAGTCTGTTTTTAAATGTCTGCCCAATACGGTCTCACCACACCAAGTGTCTCTTACTGCAAGCTGAAAACACAGCTTAGTCAGCAATTTTGAGAAATGTACAGGTCTCACCTGGTTTGCAGCTTTGAATCAAAAAGTTTCCCTTTAACTAGAGCATGTTGTTGTTTTCAGATTTCTCTCTCTAGTGAGCTGCACACAAACTCTATATAAAATAAACACAAGATATTAAAATCTTTTCACAGCAAAATTATGCATTTATTTATTAAATCCAAATGAACACATAGAAAGCAAACGACCAACAGAGAATAGGAAAATCAGGTTAAATGTTGCTCACAAGTCACATGCTCAAACTTGTATCCAAACTGTTTCTATGACAGTCCAGAAAACACGTTGTCACTTTGTTCTTTCCACTTAGATTCTGCATATTTGCTTTTAGCAAAACACCTATGTCCTTGTAGTCTTCACTGGCCAATGTATCACCTATGTTGTGACTATTTTGAGATTTATTTCTAAGTAAATATGTGATTTTCTTACTGTTTCTTGAGAAGTGATTATTTTTGGCTAGCTGTACTGTAAATACTGTAGATTTTGAACTGTTGCACCTTGGAGTAGTGGACTGCTCTCTTTAGTTTTTTTTTTTTTCTGTCCAAAAGACAGTGTCAGGTTTGTAATGTTGAATTTGTATCTGGATTTAGTCTGTCTATTCCTCTACTTAGTGATAAACGAGTGTTACATCAGCATCGAGGGGAACAACAAGCACACATTTCAGCTATCAACTGTGTCAGAGTAGAACTGAATGTATTTATCTTTTGACATCAATAAATTTCTGTGATGTGAAGAATGAGGRATCTGGGTCTTGTGTAACACTCAGCGGAAGGATCATCAGATCAAATCCTGTTTTAAACTTGGATCAGTTGCCCTCTTTGTTTTCTTTGTAAAGCAAAGTTAAAATGTAATCTGCCTTCTTTCCTCATGAAACACAGAAAGTGGGTGTACAGCAGATTAATATATTGTGTCTTTAAAAAATTAACAGCTAAGTTGGAATTAAACAAGTGGACAGAGTTTAGTTTGAACTAGACAACTATTTACTGTAATGTTATTAGACAGACAACTTGTTTTTATTCTACAGTTTTACACGACATGAAATAATGTCTGTTTCTTTGAAGTTATGTAAAAACTATTTTAGATGAGCATAAATAGATGATGATTACATGGTCATTAAAGGGGCAATATTATGTGTTTCTCAGGCATACATTTAAATACTATATCGTAATAAAGTATCTTCGTCAACTTTTGTTGTCATTAAAATGCTGTTTTTAATGTTTAAATAGAAAATAAACTTATCTTCTCATCCCTTCCTCTTCTAAAAATCTTGAAATTGGCCTCTGTCTCTTTAAGAACTACCTTCCGCTTCTGTCCCGTCCATTTCAGTGTGTGTGTGTGGGGTGCCATGATGCAGTTTACTTGGCATCTGAAAAATACATTTCCTCAAAGGTATTTTTAATCTGAAAAGAGCTTCACTGAGTGAGAACTAATGTTGAGAGCTCAGCAGACAGTTTCACTTTCACTTTCAGTTTGCTCTGTCATTGTCGAGAGACTGCAGGAGTCATGGGCTGGGTGTGTGGGGTGGGGAGTTGTGCTCCGTGATGAGGAAGCTCGGCTTAAAGACACGTCCCAGGGG